TTCCGATCTCCATCACACAGACCCTGGCCCCATCACAGAGCCCTGGCCCCATCACAGAGCCCTGCCCCCATCACAGAGCCCCACCCTGCCCCCATCACAGAGCCCTGCCCCATCACAGAGCCCCACCCCATCACAGAGCCCCGCCCCCATCACAGACCCGGGCCCCCTCCCACCACCCTCTCCCGCACTCCAGCATAGCCGTGCCCTCCCGTTGCATCAACTTCATCACTGGATTCTTCAACCTCCTGCTCCCCTTCCTGCTGGCAGATTTATATCCATATATTTCCTCATCAAACCTTTCACTCCCACACTGTGCGCTCCATCAAGGTCTTGAAGCTGTTTAATCAAGGACACAGAAAAGTATTTGCCCACAGAGGTACCTGCAGGGCCCACTTAGCTGCCTTTACCATCTCTGCCCAGTGCAATCACAACTCGGTATTTTCAAATACTGCTCCCGCTCAATCCCCTTCACCCGTGCCTCTCAAAAAAGGAATTTATTCTTAAAACATACTTGCTGCTGAAAGCAGTATTAGCCAAATCCAGTACCCAAACATTTAGATTAACTATGATTTCAATATTTTTTCTTTAGCTACTCAAATTCAATGATATTAGCATTTTGGTTTCTTTTTTTCAATTTTCATTGGAATATAGCTGATTTCCAATGTTCTGTTGAATTGTGAATCATTTACCCACATATATCCATGTCTAAGATTCTTTTTCCCATACAGGCCACTGCGGAGTGGTAGGTCGAGTTCCCTGTGCTGCACAGCGGGTCTTCATTAGTTATCTACTTTATAGACAGTGCTGTGTATACGTCAGTTCCAATCTCCCAATTATCCCTCCCCTAGCATTCTGTGTTCCAAAGAGTTCTTATCACACATAATTTATTACACATGACTTGGTAACATTTGTTGAGTGGGTGCTATGTACTATGCAATGTTTCTTGTGACTTAGTAGCATTACTGGGCTTCCCAGGGGGCTCAGAGGTAAAGACTCTGCCTGCCAGTGCAAGAAGACGCAGGACACACAGCTTCCACCCCTGGGTCAGGAAGATCCCCTGGAGGCAGAAATGGCAACCCACTCCAGTATTCTTGCTTGGAAAATCCCATGGACAGAGGAGCCTGGTGGGCTACAGTCCATGAGGTCGCCAAGACTAAGTGTGTGTACACAAACACACACACACACACACACACACACACACACACACACACACACATGCACACACATACACACAAACATACACGCACATATACACATGCATACACACATACACACATGCATACACACTCATACACACATACACACACATGCATACACAATCATACAAACAATGCATACACACATGCACACACATACACACATGCATACACATACACATACGTGTATATACATACATACACACATACAAATATACACATACATACACACATGCATGCACATACACACATACGCACACTCATACACACACATGCACACACACATACAAGCATACACACACATACACACATCATACATACATACACATATGCATACACATACACACACATACACACACACGCATACACACACACTCATACGCATACACACACACATACACACACACTCATACACACACATACACACACATAGACAAACATACACACATCCATACACACATATACACACATACACACAGACACACAGACACACAGACACACACATAAACATACATACACACACATACACATGCACACACACATACACACACGTAAACATACACACACATACACGCGCACACATGCACACACATACACACACACATGCACACATACGTGCACACACATGCACACATACATACACGCATGCACACACATACACTCACACACATACACACATACATACACACATAAACATACATACACACATACACACACATAGACATACACACGCACACACGCACATACACGCACACACATGCACACACATACATACACATACACACATACGCATACACACACATGCATACACACGCGCGCGCGCACGCATGGAGCACTACAGCTCTCATGTTCACCACTGCCCCAGGAGGTCGAGATGAAGACGCAAAAGTTGATACACTCCAGGACTTAGAACCAGCTTCCCTGTCCTTCAAATTCACTTCACAAGAGAAACTGCTTTCAAAATGTCCTAGTCTCTGGATGCCCTACCCCTGACATTTTTACATGAAGAACCTGAACCAAGAACTTCCAGATGTATAAGCTGGTTTAGCAAAAGCAGAGGAACCAGAGATCAAATTACCAACATTCGTTGGATCTTANCTTCATGGCAAATAGATGGGGAAAAAGTGGAAACAGTGACAGATTTTATTTTCTTCAGCTCCAAAATCACTGCAGACAGTGACTACAGCCATGAAATTAAAAGATGCTCACTCCTTGGAAGAAAAGCTATGACAAATCTAGACAGTGTATTAAAAAGCAGAGACATCACTTTGCTAACAAAGTCTACATAGTCAAAGCTATGGTTTCTCCAGTAGTCATATATGGATGTGAGAGGTGGACCATAAAGAAGGCTGAGCACGAAAGAATTAATGCTTTCGAACTGTGGTGTTGGAGAATTCTAAAGGAAATTAAACCTGAATATTCATTGGGACGACTAATGCTGAAGCTGAAGCTCCAATACTTTGGCCACCTGATGTGAAGAGATGACTCACTGGAAAAGAGCCTGATGCTGGGAAAGACTGAAGGCGGGAGGAGAAGAGGATGACAGAGGATGAGATGGTTGGATGGTATCACCGACTCAATGGACATGAGCTTGGGTAAACTCCGGGAGATGGTGAAGGACAGGGAAGTCTGGTGTGCTGCATGCAGTCCATGGGGTTGCAAAGAATCAGACATGAGTTAGCGACTGAAAAACAACAGCAACAAACTCTTCCAAAATCTTAGTGACTTAAAACGTCAAAGATTTCTTCTCACTCACTAAATCTTCCCACTGATGTTCTCGGGACACACCTTGACTTTGCTCTCACTTCGCCACTCAAAGTGACAGCCCAGAACATCACTGCTCAGCCTGTGGGAAGGCAACATGGTAAACTGCACGCTGGCCGTGGAAGAAGTCCACTGCAAAGTAACACACCTGACCTCCTCCTGCATTTTATTGGCCAAAGCAAGTCTCGCGATTATAAGCTTGAAGGGGACGGGGAGATGCAATCTAACCTCACACCCAGGAGAGAAAACCAGAAGTATCACCAGTGATTACAGTGGGAACAGGAGAGAATTTCTTAGAGCAGCAGGTGTACCAGGAACAGCAAGTGGGAGGAAGGCTCAGAGGAGGCTCAGGGGAGAATGTGCGAAGGTTGGCAGAGAGCCCAAATCCATGTTACACTAAACCCTGAGGCTGCCTGACCCCAGGGCTGCCTCCTTCTCTCTCCTACGGTGGTGTTCCTTTCCACTGAATAAAATCTCAACATGTTTCTCAAAAACCCTTTCAACTGCAAGAGACAAAAATCCCAATTCATACTTAGCCCAGCAAACAGACAAACAAGTGAGCAAGAAGTACGGCATTACGACGCTCTCATCTGGTTCTGCGGTGAACTGCGTGGGAGAGAGAAAGATGGGACCGTCACATGGAGCCGGGACACTCCGGGGCCGCTTGTTACGGTGCTGTAACCCGGCCCGTCCTGACTGTAGCACAGGCTTCCCACACACAACAGACAAGGCACACACCACCCCTGCCTACCAACCTCAGCAAAATGAGAGGACCCCCTCCGCAGAGTCCCCTCCCAGCCCTGCGCGAGGGCCCTGATGAGCCGTGGCCGAGTCCCTGCCCTGACGATGGACACTGCGAGGTCCAGCCCAAGCCACATGCCTTCCTGTGCCATGGTATGCAGGGCCTGTGACCAGGAGCTGACAGATGAGATACAAGTATCACTGGCCATGGAATTCTCTCTAAAACCAAACTAGTGAAAGGCACTCAGTCATGTCTGACTCTTTGGGACCCCATGGACTCGACAGTCCATGGAATTCTCCAGGCCAGAATACTGGAGGAGGTAGCCTT